CCACACTGTACCCTAGAAGTGCATTAATGTACATAGTTACCGTTCAATAAAAAAAAAAGAAAAAAAAGAAAAAAAAAAAAAGACATTATCAGGTTCACCCAGTTCTGCATCACTAGAATAGCCATACCTTGATCGTATTGTTTTATCCTTTCTATATAGTTGATAAGATTTACTCATTTTTTTAAAAAAGGTTGTAGGTTAGGTTGATGACCATCATTTTCTAGCTTAGATTTACTCAATTTTTTTTAAGATGTTGAAATTTATTTATGAGGAAATAATGGCCTATAATTGTATTTTTTATATTGTTACCTGGTTTGGGGATCAAGATAGCCTTGTAAAATGAATGGGCTCTCTCTTTTTGTTTCCTTAAAGTGTTTGTGTAAGGGTTGCAATACCCCTTGAATGTTTTGTGAAACTCAGTTGATTATCTAAAACTGTTGGGTTGATTACTCAGAACTGCTTTGAGCTCTACATCAACAAGTTCTTCCACCATTGGCCTTTGACTTAATTCTCTAATTTTACATTCCTCAACTTGTGTGCACAAACCTTTTTTCAGCTAAACTAGTGTATTCATTAACCTGGGAACAGTTGCTTTTAATACCCTTTCCAGTTTCCTATCAAAACATCAAATCGACCTATAAGTCAATCTGTAGGACTCAGCGTTGATTTAAGCACTGTTAGAAACCTTCCGTTACTACAATAATCTTTCTGGTTTTTTGGCACATGAAAATTTATTACTATTTTCATCAAAATTTATGATCTTGGTTGTTCCTTCTTGCCTTTGTAAAGGGCCAAAAGAGACATTAGCTACTTTGCCAACCTTAAAGCAGACTCCAGGAATGTCACCAACAGCATGACCTTTTTGACCAAATCCAGCAACCAGAACTTCGTTTTCCTCAATAAAGTTTAAGCAGCCATCATTGGGTACAAAAGTTGTGATTTTCATGCCATTCTTGATCAACTGGACCCAGACACACTTCCAAATGGCTGAATTTGGCTGTTTGGCTTCAACTCTTAACTTTTTCCATCACAATCCTTTTTGCATGGAAGCACCTCCAAAAGGATTGTCCTCCAGGGCCGCGCCCAGATGCCTTCTTGTACTGTTTTCATGCCTCTTCTGGTCTTTTCTGTGACTATGGAGCTTCCTAGCAGTTCAGAGTCCATGACACTTGCCCATCCCGCCTGCACCGCAGGCCTGCTTGAAAGAGCTGCTACAATAAGCTTAAGCAATGCTTTGTCGAATACGTCTGAATTTCATCTGCACTTAGTCCTGTCAACTCCTGTTTGACATTTTCCACCTACTCTTTGTATTTGAATTTTACGTACCTAATCCAGTCTAGCCATGCTGCACCTTCCACTCAGAAAGAAGGCAAAGCACGTCTTTAGTCATCCTTCATACTGGGATGTTCCCTAGATATTTGAATTCAGATGTTTCTAAATAGGATATTTGCCTTAACAACATAAGCCATCAGGAAAAACAGTGATCATGTGAAACATTTTGCCCTTAATTCTGAAAGTGTATCTTAGAAATAGACTACTTATAAAAATTTTAGTTGTAAACAGGAGAATTGCACATTATTATTGCACAAAAAATTATCCTTTTCATTAAAATGAAGACCTGTGTGACTAATTATATTTAAAATCGAATTGTGCAATAATTCATGATCATTTGAGAGACCTTTTACCATATTACAAAGAATTGAAAACTAATTCTCTTTTTCAGTTGCCTCTAATACCAGATGTCAGTTTATCCTAAGTTTGGAAATGACAAATACTAGTCCTTGTTGCATCTGAACACGTTACAGTAGACTTAGATTTATTTGACTACTTTTGAGACTTACAGCTCCTACTTACCACTCCTAAGGTCTTTGTGTCCACCATCGGTTTTCAGAGCCATAATGTATGTGTTATACTTAACATAAATATAAAATGTTTCATGTTCAGTTAACTGGAGATATGTGCAGTTTTTAACATGGAAGTAGAATCTTGAGTTTTTAGTAAGATTTAAATTCATGGTAGATATTTTGATAGCCTTTGTTTATTTTAGGAGTTGCTTACTGTTATTATAAATATTCGTTGTTCTTTTGTACTTTTCTGATCACAGATTATTCTGGAACTTTATTAGCATATATAGTTCTCCAAAGGTTAGAATTGAAAAACCTAGTTTGCTCCAGGGGTTAGAAATGAAGAAAAAAAATGGATGTTTGGGAATTGGAACAGCTGATACTGGTGGTCATATCTTCCACTGTATGGGAATCTGGAACAGCTGATAGTGGTGGTCATATCTTCTACTGTATGGGAATTGGAACAGCTGATAGTGGTGGTCATATCTTCCACTGTATTGGAATTGGAACAGCTGATAATGGTGGTCATATCTTCCACTGTTTGGGAATTGGAACAGCTGATAGTGGTGGTCATATCTTC